GGCATTGAAGGAAGAGCTAAACTTAAGTTTGGAACCTTGTCTCGTTTAAGTTTACGTAGCTTACTAGTTTCAAGTTCCGTGCGTTTCTTTCTCCTAAAGTCAGTTAATGCGTCAGCTTCTTGTTGCGATAATGTGGTGTTTGAGCGTAAAGTGGCCGAGATTGAGGTTGTCAATTGTTTTACCTGTTTATCACTGTGTTTAATTGCAATTTTTACCAGTCTGAGTGAAGCCTCTAGTAGGACGCTTTGCCATTCTAACTGGTCACTTTTGTCTAGGTTTGTAATTGCGGGAGGTAGAGAGAGAGACATGCCCTTCGGGGCGATTCCTGAGCTCAGGTACACCTGCAACGTTGATTTATGCAGTTCATGTCTAACTAGCTTATCCGACAGTTTACGTAATTTAAGAAAAGTGGTACTGTAGTTTAAAGCCAGATGGTTGGACTCACCGAACAAAGGTCACTTCTTGGGATGGGGGTGCCTGGTTGTGGTGTTCCGCAGGTAGTAGGAGTTTGACTGCGGGCCGGGAGTGCTCCGCTCCGTGGACGTGAGGCTCTCGGCGGGTGTCGGGTACTCCTCGATGTCGATGCTGACGTCACCGGCGGGGGTGGTTGGCAGAGCAGCTGCTGGGCTCCGCGCGACGTTAGCAGAAATCCCTGGGCGAGATTCCGGTCCCCTGGGAACGGCGCCCATACGAGCATCACTATGCAGATGCATCCGAGGGAACGTGCGGGCTTCTTGGATCGGGTTGGTGGCGGCAGGAATCTCCGAGGACCACCCAGGTGGTGTTGGGGCTTCCCCTCGCTGGAGTAGCCCCTTCAGTAGCCCCAACTAAACCGCGCTGACCTTCTTGAGGACCGCCCTCCTCAGCGCAACGAGCAGCACACGAATTTATGTCTAACCTATAGTGTGAATTTCCCCAACGTAAATAATATTTTAAGGCGACATTACAACATTTTAGAACAAAGCGAACGCCTCAAACGTGCATTCCCATCAGCTCCCGGGGTAATTTATAGACGTTCACGCAACCTTAGAGACAGCCTAGTTAACCCCCGACTGCATTCGTCCCAACCAAATAACGGATACCGAGCGTGCATGAAAGCAGGGTGCCTGGTATGCAAACACATGCGAGAAACGAACACGGCCAGTAGCACGCATTCCCAGTTCTCAATAAAAATCCAAGGGCAGCTTACATGTGACTCTTCAAACGTAATCTATCTGATACAGTGTGAGATGTGCAAAAAAACAATATATAGGACAGACCGAGACAGCGTTCAGGCTACGTTTCAACAATCACAGATCACACGCAAAAACCCTGCCGAGCCTGCCAATTTCAAAACATCTCACCCTCCAGAACCACACATTCGATAAATTATCTGTTACACTTTTAGAGTCCGGATTCAAATCAAATCGGGAGCGCGAACAGCGCGAGTCATATCTTATATACCGATTTAGCACAATAAGGGAAGGAATAAATAGAAGCCCAGGAACACTTGCATCGATTGAGGCGCTCGCCAATAAATAGTATAACGACCATAAACAATATACCATTTGAACCTAGAATTTTGTGGTACTGAGTTCGGGGCTAGAACTGGACAGTGCGTTTTCGTTCTTTTGTTGTGTTGTTTATTTATTTTTATTTATTTATTTCAATACCCTCAGGGCCCATAGGACAGTTCCCGTACATCCTGTATTTCCGTAGTTCCTACCACTTCTGATGTGTCACCTTATGTATTCGGCGACCTCTGTGTGCGGCTTCCCCCGCCTTAGATTTCGTCCCTCACTTTGTGTTCTGTGCGCGCAAAAAGAAAGAAGGGGAAAAAATCGCGAAGTGTCATTTGGTTAGTTAGCTACCTTCGTCCTCGCTTTTTTCTTTTTTTCTTTGTGCGGTTGCATCCCTTATCTCCTTTTGTGTGAGATTCTAAGTGGTGTACTTCTTATCTGTTCTCCCTATGCACTTTCGTTGTATGCGTACTCTCTCCCTTCTCAAAACTGTATAAATATAACGACATTTTTCTTGTAACCCTATTCCTGACGAAGACCTGCCTCAGGTCGAAACGTCGAATAAAATCCTCCTGGTTTGTTTTCTACCGTCACCTTGCATCTGTTATCTACGCCTTCGGCCTCCAAGCCAACATGCCTATATATATATATATATATATATATATATATATATATATATATATATATATATATATATATATATATATGTATATGATGTCTGAACGTAAAGTGGGATGGTATATCTGCTATAAATCATACAAAACAAAAGGAAAACGAAAAGAAAGAGGAAGGAAGGATGAAAAGGATCAAGATGGGAGACATATTATTGCTGAGGACCTAACATGCAAAGCCATATTTTGTTTTTGAAATTTCAAGGCGATTGACAGTTAGTAATATTGTATACCGTTTCTGGGAATCTATTTAGAAATTTAGCAATTATGTAACTCAAAAGCTGAGACCCATATTTTTAGTGAGAATTTTTTCTTGCACATATTTTTTATGACGTAGGTAATAAGTTGTGATTTTCTGCGGGTAATCTTCTAGAAATAGAGACTCGCTGTTTTTAAATTTTGTGTAAATTTCTAGAGCCACTCTCAATTAATAATGGTGTTGGATTGAAAGATTATTGTGTTTCAGAGAAGAAGCAGTGGTACGGGCGTAACTAACTATCTAGATGTATTCGTCTGGGGGCGTTCACGCGATGAACGCCATGCGATATTAAGGGCTGCCTTGCAGGCAGTGAAAGCTAAAAGATTATCTTTAAAAATAGAAAAATTCTCGGTTGGGGTGGAATAATTTAATTATGTGGGAGACCTGATTGACAAGGATGGTATAAAGCCACATGTAGCTCTGATTTAGTGCGTAACGACCTTCCTCCTACTACATGTAAAAAGGACGTTCAACACTTATTGGGTGTGATTAAGCACTTCGGAAAGGTATTATCCTGCTTTTTAGAAAAAACCCGCCTCTTATGAGACTTGCAAAGAAGGGGAGTGTTTTTTTATTGAAACAGCATGCATGATAATGAATTGAAAAACCTCTGTAACTTGTAACTGGTGCTCTAATATTGACCATTTCTGATAAAAGAAAAAAAATTAAAAGTATTAACCTATGCATCAGAATTCGCTCTAGGGGCGGCACTGTTTCAGCTACACGAGAAAGACTGGCAACCTATTGGCATATGCTCCACGAGTACTTTCTGAAAGTGAGCTACATTATATAGGAAAAAATAGAAAAAGAATACCTGGGAATAGTGTTTGGTTGTGAGCGTTTTCGGTAGTTTGTCTACGGACACAGTAGAACTGTCGAAACTGATCATTACGCTTTTTTGTCAGTAGCTCAGAAAAATGTTAGAGACCTTCCTCCACGGCTCCAGAGACTTTTTATGCGGCTCATTAAATTTCGCGAATACGTTCGCGGAAAGCAACTATTGCTTGCTGACACACTGCTTTGCATACGCACGCCCACTGACGCTGGTACAAGCGAATATGCCGCGGACGTGGCCATTCCCGCTAATGGCGTGCTGACCAACATTGTCAGCTATACGATATTGTCAAGGCTAGCTTCCGGAACCTCGTAGGTGGAGGAGTGGCTTAAAGTTAAAACAAAATTGCTTGTGACAAATGAGCCAGTTGAAGGTAGAGTGGCTCCTTTTGCACCAGAACTGTTTCGCGTAAGACGTATAGTAATCCACGGAGCCAAACTTGTTTTCACGAAGGGCATTTAGGGTTAAATAAGTGCCAAGCACGAGCCAGGCTGCTAATATATCGGCCAAACATAAATGCAGTGTTTGTGGAGAATAACATAGAGGACGAAAACAGGACGACACGTTTCTCCAACTGGCAGCATACATTTATTTTGACGCCCGTCACCGAACGCGACAGTCACCGCGCGGAGTTGGAAGGGTTGAGGAGGACAGAGAAGGAAGGGAGGGTGGGGGTGGAGAGAGGATGGAGATGGAGGGAAAGAGAAACATGTTTTTAGCCGGCAGCGCACGCCGAAGTCAAAAAAGGGGGGGGGGGGTAATAAGGGAAGTGACCTTGAGGAGGGAAAATAAATGTATGCTGCCAGTTGGAGAAACGTGTCGTCCTGTTTTCGTCCTCTATGTTATTCTCCACAAACACCGTAACTTAACCAGCACGCTCCATTTCCACGAGAACATAAATGCAGTCATTTGATAATTATACTAGATCGTCCCGATGACTCCAATAACGATACCTGATACTTCGCCGCCGCCTTTGTGCGTGGATCGTTTTGTTATCGGGAATCGTTATCGGGGGCATCAGAGGTTTCAGAACAATCTACTAAAACTCTCCAGTGAGACGATGATTGGGAAGTGCGAAACGTGCCGCCTGTTCGCCTATAAACAACCACCTGAGTCTTCGCTGAATAGGAACCCGTCTCGGTAAGCTAGGGCCTGTGTGGGCGTAGGCATCTTTGAATCCGCTGGCAAAAGTTTGAGCGTGTACGCGCAGCTAGCCAAAGCTAATGTCACTGCAAGACGCGATCGCGGTGATGCGGACGCACAATATAGGGTGGCGACGCGGCGCAAATTCACTTTTGTCACTGATAGGATGAGAACGCCACAGCGTCACTTTCCCATGCCCGGCCTTCTGCATTGCATTTGTTGCTTCTCGCTTCGCTTTGGCTCAAGTCACTGGAATAGGGAAAGTAGCGCCATTCTCTTCCCACCTCCTAGCCGGACACAAACAAATACCAACATAACGACGACAAAACCTCTCAAGGTGATTGGCTCATCGCTCTCGGTTGCCATGGTGATCGTCATTTTGGACCCTTTCAAAGTCTCGAAGCTTCGAAAGGTTCGTTAAAATCACTCGCACCAACATCGTGCTTATTTCCCGAGATCTCTATCCATTGTGTTGCTTTTCTTGCGTGTTTCAAGACAGTAAAATTATTTTTCAACGCCCCCAAGCACCGACGCCGCGTGTGATGTCGTAGATCTTCGTACCGCCATCAAACGCAACGTCAGTGCTTGAGGGCATGGAATCCTCTACCCGTGTTCAACAGGTCTCAGCACTAACTTTTGGCACCAAGGAGTACGAAGTTACGGCATACCTGGCAGTCCCCGGCAACGCGTGCAAGGGCGTCATCTCTGGTGTCGAAGCGCGGCCTACGGCCGAGGTACTGACTGAAAACCTACGCTCTACCGGGATCAACATCCTCTATGCCCGGATGATGGGACAAACCAACACCGCTGCCATCACCTTCAAAGGCATCAAGGTACCACGCTTCGTGTATCTATCGGGCGGGGAATACCCCTGCCGACCGTACCAGTTGAGCCAGCAAGTGTGCGGCGTGTGCCTAGGCCTAGGACACCGCACCGATGTCTGTCCACAACCAGAACAAAGCCGCTGTACTACGTGCGGCGCGCCCGGCGGAGCCATGGAAGACCATGAATGCACCGCCCACTGCATTAACTGCGGAGGCGAACACCTGGCAACCGACTCTCGCTGCCCAGCCCGCCAAAGGGCCCCCTACAACAAGAAACACGTCGCGCGGTATCCGGGAGAGAAAGAACAACAACAACGAACTCCACCGTCGCCGCCCCCACCGCTAACATACAATGCCTTGGCGAGTCACCACTGGCCGGAACTACCAAGCTACAACCGCGTGAACCCCGACTCCACCATCCCCACTAACGTGAAGGAGAAGGAATATGATCGCAGCAGCTCAGGTCCTCCCCCGGGACAGCCGAGCCACACCAACAGGAACGCTACCCTAGAAAGAAACGGCTACAGACGCAACCCAAGCGACAATGCCAACAAGGCCAAAATCCAGTGCTCGACCAGATCGCGGAGCCCACAGGGAAAGCGTGCACAACAACGGTGGACGGACCAGCGAAACCAACCGGAGATCAACACCCAAGAGCCTGGACACAAGGGCGCAAATGTGAGCTAGGCAGCGTGGCCTTCTAACCCTTCTCAATCCCCCTGTCTCGCATGCCTCTCTTCCTTGCAACACATTGACATTACTAACGCGGAGCGAACAGACCGCAAACCTCCCCCCCCCTAAAACAAACAACCGCTCACGCAACCGACACACGAGCAACCGAAAGGTTTACCCGTGCGATACACCCGTGCGAATACCCAATAGCGAAACGCCCAATCCCTGCTAGAATTCAAGACCGAAATCAAAGAGGACATCAAGGAGGATTTTGAACGCGTCCGAGAGGAACTTAAAGCTGAGGCCAAGCAGCTCAAAAAAGAGCGAGGCGAAACGCTCCAAAAACAACCACGCGAGAGCTACATGCTCTCATAACAGAGGTAAGCAGGATCAAAGGCAGGATATAAGGGAGGTACAACCTCAAATAATGCAACAAATTATGCAGCAACTTCACCAACTGGTCTTGGCCGCCAATAACGGCCCCCGACGCAATTCCTCCCAACCAGAGCAAAAACCCCTCCTACAAATCGACACACACAGCGAGCGCGACCACCGCGAAACTAGACGAGCACACACGTACCCACCCCCGTCTCCGTCTCCCACCACGCAAGTCAACATCCCTTAAAACAATCAGCACCATGAAGACGAGCAATAATCAACAAAACACAAACTGTCGCGATTCGATTCCCTCGCACTCCATCCCACACAAGCAACAACAATCCACTCACACCTCCAACCGGACCCCGCACTGCAACCAACCAAAAATTCCAATCAACACGATGGACAGTTCACTCAACAGTAGCTCCTCGCAAACACAAATCGTAAACAACGCAAATGCAACGCGAGTATGGCAGTAGAACTGCAGGGGGTACCACCGCAAGCGCGGCAGCCTCACACAGTTCATTGCCACACAGGAACACAAACCAGACGCCGTGGCACTGCAGGAAGTGGATTGCGTACCTACTGTGTCGGGATACATTTCATTCAGTCAGGAACTGGCAGACGTGGAGGACAAACCTCGCGTCAGCATACTCGTAGCAAAACATATTCCGGTAATTGTACACACACTCAGTAGCCGAGTGCCGCATGTCTTCCTCGACCTCCTGCCACAGGGAGAGACGATAGGGGACTCTTTCTACCAAACGTATATAGCCCTCCGAGCCGACCGTGAAACGTGTTCGACGACCTCTTCCGGGACTCGATAAACGCCGCCCGCGCGAAGACTGACAACCTCGTGATGGTAGGTTACTTCAATGCAGCGCACCCCGCGCTCGGTTACGCCAGGGCTACAATAAAGGGAAGACAGCTGATGGACGCCATAGACGTCCACCGTCTGACTCTCTTACACGAGCCCGACCAACCGACTTGGATAGGCAACAGTGTCAGCCGCGACACCTGCTCGGACCTCACGATCGCTCGAACGCACAACGAGTGCGCCTTAACGAACCTCGGGGAAAACCTGGGGTCGGTGAACTTCATTCTTGAGACCCAGGTGCCCGTCGCTCTCAACCGCGAGCGGGGCCGGCCGTAATGGTTGGTAAACTGGGACGCGTTCCGTCAGATCCGCACGACTACACCAACCACGGACCACACGATCAGCGACGACGACGCGCTCGATCAGTGGGTCCAACGGCTATAGGCACACGTCGAACGGGCGACCAAGAAAGTCTACGCGACCGACAAGGCGCCTATCATCGATACCCCCCTTCTCCAGCTCTGGGAGCCACGCCGCGGTCTAACGAGGAGGTGGAAAAAGACAAAACACAACCGCAAACTCCACGCGCGTGACGCTCACCTCACACAGGAGGCCGAGGAATACGCCGAAGAGCTCTCCCAAACTAATTGGAACACATCTACAGGGCACTCTGGGCTCGAAGAAAACATGGAGCTTGGTGCGCACATTGCTTGACCCTTCTACATCTCGGATCGAGTCGAGCAAGGCCATCACTAAACTCCTCCGCTCTCTCCCGAAAAGCGCGACTGGCGACCAGCTCTGGACGACGCTCAGAGACCGCTATGTCATGGTCGGACCTCGCCCAGCATATGCGCCGTACCCATATGAGGACGGTAATACACCCCACTCCCTCGACGTGGAGTGGTCGGGGCATATGCGCCGTACCCATATGAGGACGGTAATACACCCCACTCCCTCGACGTGGGTCACCGAGCAAGAGGTCCTGAACGCGCTCCAAAACATCTCGCGCAGCACCGCCCCGGGCAAGGACGGTGTCACGTACAGGCTCCTACAAAATCTTGACGATGGCTCTATCACGGCCCTCACACAATACTTCAACCGGGTTTGGGCGACCGGGGAACTGCCCAAGTCGTGGAAGCGAGGAGACATCACGCTCCTTCCGAAACCGGGCAAACCTCTGTCGCTCGAAAACCTCCGCCAAATCTCACTTACCTCGTGCATCTGTAAACTCATGGAGCACGTGGTGATACGCCGGCTTCAGCCGCACCTGGAGTCGACGGGCTTTTTCGCAGACTCCATGTCTGGCTTCCGGCCGAACCTTCCCACCCAGGACGTCCTCCTACAGCTAAAACGAGACGTCCTCGGCTACCCCGGTACAGCCCAGACCCGAGCGGTGCTGGCTCTTGACCTCAAGGGCGCGTTTGACAACGTGTCGCACGACGCAATTCTTGACGGCTTGTCTCGCGCACGGTGCGGGAGGCGGACGTACGATTACGTGCGCTCGTTTCTCGCGGACTGAACCGCCACCCTCGGCCTCGGAGACCAGCAATCTAACCTCATCCCGCTCAAGGGTAGGGGCACCACCCAGGGCTCCGTCTTCTCGGCCACCCTGTTCAACATAGCCATGGCAGGGCTCCCCACAACACTAAACGCGATCCCACGCATACACCACGCGCTTGCCGCGGACCTCATTACCGTCTGGATCGAGAGCGGCTCAGACGGAGAAGTCCAGGACGGGCTGCAGGAAGCGGCGGAGGCTACCCAACTGTACGCCCGAGCGGCCGGCCCGTCATGCTCGGTGGAGAAGTCAGACCTTCTATTGATCCGTGGTACAGCCAGGACCAAGATTAACGAGAGGATTGAGGTCTCCATCGAAGGCCGGCCTGTCCCGACAGTGGAACGCCTCAGAATCCTGGGCCTCCAACTACAACGGGACGGGAAGGCAACGTACACCGTCCAGGTACTGCGCAGGCAGTGACGACAGATACCTCACTTGATCCGCCGAGTCACCAACAAGCGCAGGGGTCTCAAGGAAAAGGACACCCTCCGGACGGTCCAGGCGCATCTCGTGAGCCGCGTTGTTTATCACGCCCCCTTTCACAATTTCCGCCGCCGCGAGGTGGAGGCGCTGGACGCTGCGCTCCGCACAGCAGTCAAAACCGCAGTCAGCCTCCCGCAACACGCGTCTACAGAACGCCTCCTCCAACTAGGCCTCCACAACACGGTGTGGGAACTCATTGAAGCGCAGCAGACCGGGCAGATGACCCTACTCGATCGCAGGACGACCGGCAGACCCCTCCTCCGCCGCCTTGGGTCCAAGTCCCGATCACCCTACTCTAAGAGGGACAGTATAAGCCCGCGCCACCGACTATCGCCGCGTAAATACGGGTGATGCCCATCCCCAAAACCATGCACCCGCAAGCGCACACGGGTAGGCGACTCGCGCGCGTCCGCTACCTCCGCAAACGCTACCATCACGACCCGGACGGACACGGCGTCGTACACCACTCCCTCGGGCTGACGCTGCGTCGCAGTGTGTGACTCGGACGGCTGCAACGAAACCGTCGCTTCGCTCCGTGGCTGCCCCTCCTGCGCGGAGGCCGAGGAGACCGCGATAGCACTGGCTATATCGACCACACACGACAACCCAAACTTTTATCTGGACACGACCACGGTCACAATCCTGACCGAAGCACAGGCCGCGTGCAAAGCCTGGGCTGGAGGTCTGATATCCCCCTGGAGCAACCAAATTCTTTCCCTACTAGACCGCAACAAACTACCACTGGCCCGCATTGTATGGACCCCCGTCAATGTTTCCCTTCTAGGTAATGAGGCGGCAGACGCCTTGGCCCGAGACGCGACTGTCCGGGCATTGCCTCAGGAGGGATGGCATGACCGGTCTCTCGACAACCATGCGAGGGACTCGACTCGCAACCCACCTAACCCGCCAATAGACACTTACACCCAGGTCACTGAGTACTACCGCATGTCACGCAGAACATACCCCCTCCACAGAAACCCCTCACCAGACAAGACACGACAGGCTGGAGGAAACTCCAAACCCTCTCCTTTCCTAACCTCCGATGCGAATGCGAATGCCCTGGCTGTCACTCTCCCGGACCCACCCTTTACCACTGCTCATGGGCCTGCCCCACTCCGGTCGGAGTGGGGATCCGACCTATTCCCAATCCATCCCAATCCTCTTAGGAGGCCACTGTGCTCGCCTCACAGCCCGATCTGCAGCTCGCGCTATTCGATCGAGCTAGGCGAGTGGCTCAGTCAGGCCTGCGGGTCCCTGGATTAGGGGACCCAATTACGAGGCTGAATGAGGCACACTCCATCTAACTAAAGTTTGTCCAACCAACCTGCGCTTACATATAATTATTCACCGCAGATATCGGGTTCCTGCTCGTCGGCCAATAAAACGCGTGCGTTCTGCGTTCTGCCAATAGGAAGAGCGGAGGGAGAACAATGCCCTTCCCCTATCATTTCGCGCGTCGTCTGCTCAGCTGAGTGGGCTGTACTTACCATCCGGCGGGCTGCATATTTTGTTTAAAATCGCGCCATTTTATAAATTTCAAGCTCAAATCGCGGACTTTGATGCGCAAGTGAGCGTGTAATGCAATGTCCAATAAAAAGACCAACCGGGTCTACACTCTAAGAAATGCCTGAGCGTCTACTTACCCTCAAGACACTCGAACAGTCAATCTCTGCGATCTACGAAATCAGCTCAGTGAATGATGAGGTAGAACATCCCTTTAGACTTAAAAAATAATCCTGCGCTGTGGCATTACGCAATGCAAAGCTTCATGCTTGCATTCCTTAATGCCACAGCGCAGACTTTATTTTGAGGTCTAAACAGATGTTTCGCCTCATCATTCGCTGCGCTGATTTTGTAGATCGCAGATTGGCTCTTCGAGTGTTTTGTGGGTAAGTAGACGCGCAGGCATTTCTTAGAGTGTAATGGCGCTGTATCCTGCCACGCAAATAAAAAAAAATGTGAAAACTATGTCAGGGTGGTCAGTCCGTTCCTTCCGGCGAAAAGTAAATCCGGTTGCAGTAGTGGTTTTACTATGCAAAGGTCGTACTGGTATAGTCCATTAGCGAAAATGAGTGGGGAGTCTGGAATGAATAAATAAATCATGAGCCACTCCACCCTGTGAAGGCGAATGACCAGCGA